TTCTGTACCATTTATAGTCTTTAAGAGCTGTCTTGGGTACAACTCTTGTGTCAGAAGCTCTTTCATTAGAGAAAGAAACTATGTGTATTTTGGGTGGATTTTATCACTTTCCTCACTCATAGTTCCTACCCAGGAAAGTATGAGGATGTGTGTATGGTACCATTCAGGATATTGAGGATGGCTCTCCACTTTCAAATCCAATAGCTCACATAATGATATAACAACATATTATTATACTTTTATTGTTATTATTAACTGTCTTTCCAGCATCATTGTATGTTATTTCTCCTAATTCACGCTCTGAAATCTGGCTAAACTGTCCTTCTCTTAGCTCCTCACACAGGATACTCCATCTATGGTCCTTTCTTATTGCCTTTGCCTGCTCTACCCCTCTTGGTCCTAGGTTATTCTACAATCCACTGAGAATAATTCTGTGATCCATACTACCAACCTTGTCTTCCTCTTTTGACCTCTCTCATAGCCAGAGTCAACCCATTTAGAGTCAGGAAGGTCCAACTCATGATGGGGTGGATGTACCCGCCCTACATCTTCCTGATCTAGGATGGCTGAGTGGTAGGGGGAGGGAATCATTTCCCCTTCCACTTTCTTCCCCTACCCAGGCCACTCAGAATCCATGTAGGCTGATTCACAGCAATTTGGATGAGATAGAAATCACCAACTCTACTCCTCATGAGATGGAAGACCACCACACCTTGCTATCTGCCCTGCATCCTAGGTTCCTCCAGGCCTTCATTTCTATTCTGCCTCTATAGCCTGCAGACCCCAGGCACTGTTATCCCACCTACTCCTGAGGCCTTGCCACACTTGAGTTGCTGCACCCTTAGGACATTCAGGCCTTTCTGTATGTCCTGAGCCAAACTTTGTTTTACGTGCTGTCTCCCCTAATTAGAGCAGGCTAATGCAAGAATGAGGACTGAGCATTATCTTAATCTTTCTATTTGTATCTCCAAGTCCAATGCTTGACACATAGTAAACAATTAATAAGTGCTTTTTATTTCATTCATTTGTTGCCTTTTTACTGGCCATCTCCCAGACCTGGAATGCACTTCCTCCTCACCTCCATCTCACAAAATCTCTCTTTGTTAGACAAATCAAGTACCACCTTCTTCTATAAGAAGCCTTCTCTGATTCCTCCCCACCCCCTACTGCCAGGATCCTCCCTCTCAAACTACCTTACAGTTAACTACGTTGTGGTTGTAATTATTTTCTTTAGTTTGTGTATACTTATATAGGTCCTTATCACTGATTCTTTGAGAATGTAAGCTCCTTTAATGTAAGGACTTTTTCATCTTTGCATTTGTATCTGATCCTAGCAGATTCTAGATGCTAGTAGGTTCTTAATAAATTCTTCTTGATTGATGATTAAAAAGGAGAAAATTGAAATAGAAAATTCATAACTTTCAGTCCCCAAGATATGAGCAAATTACCGGAGTTACTCACAATCTCCATGACAAGAGCTCCTTTGGGAAAGAACCAAGGTTGCTTACCCACAAGCTCTGTCTTGTTGCTGGAAGGGCGGTGATGGGAGTGGGGCAGGTTTATATTTCTCTCCTTTTCTCCTGCTATTCCTTGCTATTCCTGCTATTCCAGGCTAGTCTCCTGACTTCTCAGGGGAAGTGAGGAAAAACCATAAAATTCTCCAACATTCTAGTGCCATTTCTTCAGTGCGAGATAATCTGTTCATAATCCTTTGACGTGCCATTGGTTGCTACTACTCTCTTCTCCAGGCTCTTCTTCCTCTTTGCTTTCTCCAGTTTCTACCAGTTACCATCCTCATCTTGCACCACACATGTATACCTTGAGGAAACACCATTTCACCTTGCTACTCAAATAAGAAAGAGGGTAATTACCTTGGCACCCACTACAATTGTATGTTCCTTAGACTCATAGATAGTTCTATGGACAGACCATAGATTTAGAGGCGGAAGAGACCTCAGAGACCATTAACTTTTACTCCCTCATTTTATAATTGAGGAAACCGAGGCAGGCCCAGGAACATTAAGTGACTTTCCAATGTCACACCCACCCATATTAAGCATCAGAGGCAGAATTTGAACCCAAAGTTCCTCCAGCTTCAGAGCCAGGATGGTTTCCACTATGCCACACCACCTCATTTAGTCCAAGCTCTCACTTCTTGTAGGAATGTTTTCTACAGTGGCTCTGACAGAGGGTAAGTCTCTACTTATGGCAATATTCAAGTTGAATATTTGTCATTGCTACTACGAAGATTGTCAAGAATTGATTTTAATTCTATTACTTCTTATTTAGGATAATTGGCTTAGGAGAAGAGTTCTGCAAGGGGTTGTTGGGAAGATGAGCGATCTAGGGCAGAAGATGACTTGGCTCCCTAGCTTTTTCATTAAAAAAAAAAGACCTGAGTTATGTACATATAGTCATCCTACATAATAATTTTTTTCCTCTTCTCATCAATGAGATGAGACTTACTCTTACTCTCTTTTATATCCATCTCCCCACATTTGGGCTGACCTTTCCTGACTTCTTTTCCCCACCATGACTGACCTTAATGTTCATTTTACTGTTTTCCACTTCGTAAAAATATTAGGGGCAGTTAGGTGTAGTAGATAGAGCTCTGGCTCTGGAGTCAGAAAGACTCCTCTTCCTGAGTTCAAATCTAGCCTCTTGGCAAGTCACTCAACCCTTTTTGCCTCAGTTCCTCTTCTGTAAAATGAGCTGGAGAAGGAAATGGCCAACCACTCCAGTATCTTTGCCAAGAAAACCCCAAAAGGGGTCACAAAGAGATGGGCACCACCTAAAGGACTCAATAACAGCAACAACAACAACAATGACAACAATGACAAATATTGGGCCTGATGGAAGAATATGAAAGTTGAAGAGCCATTCAGACAGTGGCAAACCATTGGATTTGGAATCAGAAGCCCTGGTACCATGTCTGTCACTTACCAATGATGAAATCTTGGACAAATGTCTTGGGTCTCAATATCTTCATCTGGTTGTGACATTTACAAAGTTTGAGACATGGTTTCTGGGTAGTTAATAATTTTATTAATAATGCTAGCATTTTATTAATTAAAGGAATGGTCATTTGACCGTTTGGCCATTTCTCTTGGACCAAAGACAAATCATGGTGGTGGGTTCACATTTTATATACTCTTGGAAGAGTGGGTGTTCCTGAGGGTGGCTATTAATTCTGGTTGGTTAACAATGAGAGAGAATGATTATTACAATGAGAGGTGGGCCTATTCCAATGAGGGACTCGGGGGTTATAATTTTGATTATATCACTTACTTCTAAATTGCCCAGCCTTGGGCAATCTAATCAAATAATTTATCCCAACACATACATGTGTAAGGCACAATGGGCTTCCCACCTTAGATTAAATTCCTTATAAGGTCAGATGTGGTCTGAACAAGAATTAATTCAATCTCATTGTCACAAATGTCCTTCAGAGACTGAGCTTTGAAATGAGGACTTCAGAAAAGGGGGGAATCCTGGATCTCCCCAAATCATGGTTATTAATACTCATTTTTCTGATGTTAAATAAAAAGTAGTAGGCAAAATCAATCAATAAACATCTATTATGTGCCTATTATTCCAGGTCCTTGTGCTAGGCACTGCAGGGAGAAAGACAAGAAACAACCCCTTCTTCAAGCAGCTTCACATTTGACTGTGGCAAATAAAGGATATGCATGTAAATATAATAAATATAAAATTTAATAAGTAAATGTAAAACACATGCAAATTAATTGAAGCAGCATGACTTAGTGGAAGAGAGTCAGGAAGGCCTGGTCATATCCTTCTCCGACATTTCCTGCACAAGTCACTTAAATTGTCAGTGTTTGAGACAACTCTCTAAAATTCTAAGTTGGAGATCTATATGAGTAGAAGGAGCTTCCTCACTGAATGTTCCCTACAGCAATGAAATCATAGGCCCCAACAAAACATACGAAGATATCAGCTGTGAAAGGTAGCAGGAAGGACTCCGTGTAAGGAAGTAGAGCTTGAGCTGAATTTTGAAGGAAACTAGATTCCTAGAAGTAAAGCTGAAGAGGAAAAGTATTCCAAGTGAGGAGTAAGGGATACTCAGAAGTAGAGAAGCACATCAGGTGAGGTGAACAGTAAGTAAGCCAGTTGGGTGAGAATATAAACTGTATGAAGGAGAGGGATGTGTATTAAGTCTGGTAAGGTAGATTGTGAGGGGTTTGAAATGCCATATAGAGGAATTTGTATTTAACCCTTGAGGAAATAGTAAGTTATTGGTTCTTATTTAGCCGGGGAATGACTTGGTCAGACCTGTCAATATCCCTTTGGCAGCTGTATGGGAAATAGACTGAAAGGGGGAGAGACTTGGGGCAGAGAAACCAATAGGAAGGGGTTTGCAACAGTCCAGGTAAGAGGTGATAGGATGGTGGTCTATGTGAATGGAGAGAAAGGGAGAGATGTGAAAGTAGAATGAACAAGTCTTCTTGATCTCGAAGGTTCCCTCCAGCCCCAAATCCCAGAACATTTTTATTTTGCAATCAACAAAGGGTGAGGTCCTTTCTGAAATGATTACTTGGAGGTACATTTGCGGTGGGGTCGGAGCAAGAAGCATAAACAATAGTTTCCTACGGGTTACGCTGTTTTTGCAAAATATTTCTTAAACTGTGGATCCATAGTGATGAAAGGTGCTACTCTTTACCCACGTTCCCATATACCCACTCAACTTCTTCCACTCATTAATTCCAGCCACACACTCCTTTGTTGTTGTAGTCTTTCCAGATGATGACAAGGAGAGAGAAGTAGGGCATAAAATTAATAGACCACTTTTAAGAGCTTGGAGTAGACACCCTGGGACCACCTGAAATCCTGGAGCTTTCTCCCTCGCCACCGGCAGCACCCACAGAGCAGTTTGGGGAGGCGCCTAGGGAGGAGCTTCAGCTAGCTTTGTTCTCTGAGCTCTCGGCTAAGCCAATGAGCAGGGCGCCAGGCGGCGAAATCACTTGGTAGCCTAGTGAGAATCAGGCTTCTGGGGTCGGAGGCGCGCGCGCAGTTCAGGGTTTGGGCTGGGGTGGAGAGGTCCGTGGGGACATAAAGCGCGCGTTCGGGAAGAGAGTACTATGCGCCGCGTGGAGCAGGAGCTGCCCCGGGTGCTAAGCGGAGCGCGAGCCTGCCCCCGGCCCAGAATCTGGTCCTGGGAGCGCGCGAGCTGGAGAGAGCCAATTGCAGTGTCTCAACCTCGCCGAGAGCTTCGAGGCAGCTGCAGCCGCAACCACAACCACGGCTGTGCTTAGTACTGCCGAGCCTTCCGGCCCGGAGCGCGTGCTCAGCCACAAACGGGGAACAAAAGAACCTGGAATGAGACTGGTGAGTTTGCAAAAGGAAAGTGAAAGCCGGGCTAGGAGCTCTGAGGCAGTGGCTGAGTGAGAAACTGAGAGTCTGTCAGCCCGTCCCCCCAGGCGCAGCCGAGCGTCATGAGCTCCGGAATGCGGAGTCTCGCGCCGGGTTCCCAAGGCTAGTTTTCCCCGGCCGTCCTCGAGGGGACCAGCCCTGCAACCATGGCTATAGCCCACCTGGCCACGGAGTATGTGTTCTCGGACTTCCTGCTCAAGGAACCCACTGAGCCCAAGTTTAAGGGTTTGCGCCTGGAGCTGGCGGTGGATAAGATGGTTACTTGCATCGCCGTGGGGCTGCCCCTACTCCTCATCTCACTGGCCTTCGCACAGGAGATCTCCATCGGTAAAGATGTGGGGGGAGAGAAGGGAAGAGGGGGGATTGGGCGGAGGAAGGGAGGAGCCCCGAGTGCTAGTTTGCCTTATCTGTGCAGATTGGGTCTGAAGTCTTTCTTGGCCTTAAGTTATCTTTCCACCCCCTGGGGTCAATATCTCTGCGTGCTCCTGGCAGTTCCTGTAGTTGCGGTTTGGGAGTGCATTGGTTTGTTTAAAGATTTAATGCATCGTTTTGTAGAAATACTTCACTTTGCCAAGTTGCACCTTAAAGTATAAGGGGTTATGAGGAAACCATTAACAAACCTTAGGTACCTGCTATGTGTCAAGCACCATGCTAAGGCACTAGCTAAACAAAAACAAAAGCCAGTCAAATCTTACCCTCAAGGAGCTAACATTCTACCAAGAGGATACAATATGTTCACAAATATGTATATAAAAGATATATACAAAATAAATAAAAGGTGTTGGGGAGGCACTGACTGCAATTGCAGTCTATTTCGGAAGTCAGTTACAGAGTATTTCTGGCTCTGGGCCCGCACTGTATACTTTTTCATTCCCTGACATCCACCACTACAACCACCACCACCACCCACTCTTACAGAGCACATTGCTCATAAAAAACCTGTGAGGGAGGTAGGGTAAATGTCGTCTCCGTTTTAGAGCTCCATTTTTCGGGAACCCAGAACAGCGGCGGAGCCAGAAGTCGAATTTGGGTGTTCTGACTAGTTGCAATGTTCCTTGTACTACACAGTGGTTCTAGGATAATTATAATATTTTCCATGTTTTTCCAGAATTAAATATAGTAATGCAAAATAGATTTGATAAGGTTCCTTGAAAATTATTTTTCAAAGGGCAATGTTGATCAACACTTCTACCATGTTTTTTGATAATAGGCTCTCAGCTATTAGCACTGTATGGAGCACTAGAGGGTTAGAGAAGGAGATGAAATTGACTATTAAAGGGCAGTGGTAATGCCAGATCAACAGGCATTTATTAAGTGCCTACTGCATTCCTGGCACTTTGTTAGGCACAGTAGATACAAATGACTGAATAAATGAAAAATCTTTTATTCTATGTTATACTGTACCTGGGCTTACTATGCCCGGGGAATCGTTTATCTCATTTGATCCTATGTGAGATAGGAAGGGCAATTATGGGAAGGTAGCTGTAGTACAAAGGGCATTGGTTTGGGAGTCAAAAGAACTGGGTTCAAATATAAGCTCTGTGCTTACTATCTGAGTGAGCTTTGGTCTCAGTCTCCCTTGATGACTCACTGAAAAATGAAGTTTGGATTCAATGGACACAGAGGACTCAGATGTCCATTATAGTTCTAAATTTGTGATTCCATGGTCTTCATTTTTCAAGAGGAAATTGAAACACAGAGAGGTTGAGTCACTTGTCCAAAGTGAGGAGCTGTTAAGGCTTCCACTGTAAATTTAGTACTAGAAGAAAGCTTTTCTCATCTTGTCAGTCTGTGAATTGAGGTGGTGCAGTGGATAGAGTGCCAGACCTAGAATTAGGAAGGCTCAGGTTCTCCAGTTCAAATCTGACCTCAGACAGTTACTAGCCCTATGACCCTGGGCAAAATGAGCTGGAGAAGGAAATGCAAACCATTCCAGTATCTTTCCCGAGAAAACTCCAAATAAGGCATCAAAGATCTGACATGACTAAACAACAGTTGACTTTTTATGTTGGCAGCAGCTAGGAACAGCTGAGCCTTCCAACAGTGATCATCGTGAGATTGATTTGGAACACAAATGCATGTGTTCCTGGTGTAAAATGTTTATGTTTCATATGATTCTTTCTCAGAGTATTTGGGAATTTCAGCCTTGATCAGAGTCAATTCAGCAGGAATTCTGCTAAAATGACGATTGGTAGGGGAGGTAATGCAGAAGAAATCCCCATTTTTATGAATCATCAGCTTACTCTGCTAAATGAAGGGAAAGCAATGAAATGTAGTTAAAGTACTATGCAAATGTAAGATATTAGTATTGTAGTGGCACATATTTTTACACATATTAACCTTCTGCCCAACAATTGTGTAAGATTGGTAGGCAAGTATTAATATCCATATTGTATAGTGGAAGAAGCTACAATCTGAGATTACCCATCCAATGAGAAACCGTATGGGAGTAATGTATAGAATACTGAACTTGAAGTTAGTAAGACCTGGGTTCAGATCTGTGAGAAAGGGTACATATCAGCACAGTGGAAGAGTCCTGGCCAAGCTGAGCTTTGTTCCATAGTCAGGGTGGGGCCTAAAACATTTGCTTAGTCTTGCTCTGATGTGGGGCCAGCACTCTTTCATAATAAACATCAGAAACAGAAATTTCGTTGGGCTACCAGCTAGTTATTTTAGCTTTAGATTTGGGGCTGGAAGATTTTTTCTTTTTCTTTTTCTTTTTTTAATACTTTGGATGGTCAACTAAGGCTTTTGGAGTGTGTGAAGCAGCAAAAAAAAAAATTATTGTCTTTGTGGATGAATTGGATTACTCACACTCTGTCCTTCTGGTGAGTTTGTGCCTGGTATGGTAATATGGGATAGAGGGGCTTATAGAGGGTACCAGGAACAAAAGATATAGAAGTTGAGTTTTTTCCATCCCAACTAAATTGGAAGTTCCTTGGAGGCAGGGGTAGGTGGCTAGAGAGATTATTTATTAAGTGTTTATTATGTGCCAAGTGCTGGGCTTAATAGATAGGAAAGTTGTGAACTGTATGAGACTGTGTATTGAAGTACCAAATATTGGCTTTAGGAATGCCTAATTATAATTGATCACTATATAATGCTGTAAGGGTTATAAGATGCTTTCCCCACAAGAAGCCCATGGAGTAGGTTGTGCTAGCATGACACAAGATCTCCATCGGATATGTGATCTCTCTTCTATAGGTACTCCTAAGGTTTGATGGAGCCTGCTCCTACAGAGAGCTAATTATTAAATTTTCAGTGTGAGCATTTCCATCTCAGAAATGCAGACCAGGGCTTAATTTATTGTTTTGTTGATTGTCTAGATGTAAGAAAATGATGGAGAAAAGGTTAATAAGGTTAAAGGTAACCTTCAAAGTATGTCCTGCATGTTTTGGAGAGTTGAGTTAAACCTTTACCAATATACCCTTGACCTAGTATTCCCTCTAATAATGCATATTATAACCAATTCATCCCAGTCTAACCTGTAGAATTCTTGTCCATGGTCTCCAGAAAGGATCTACCTATTATACAGAGGCCCTTCATGAAGGTCTTGTAATACTTAATGGGTATTGTTGTTTATCATGACCATCCCTTTATGATTTCCTCATTCTCCATGCATGAATGGCCCATTTTTCTTTTTTAACAAAAGGAAGTTTACTTAACAGTAGTATAGAAAAGATATTGAGCAGGAATACAGCACTTCATTTTGTTGGCCCATCTTCTTTTACAATTGCATATCTTTTGAATATCTTTTATGCCACCTGTTGCACCCATAAGTCTAATATAGCCAACTTATGCCTAGCGTACATTTCTGTGTTATCTGTTGGGTCACCTGCAATTTTGGTTATTTGTAGATAGTAGTGTCACATAATTTGTAGCCATATAGCATTCCCAAGAGAATGTTAATGTTAAAAATAGATTTTTGTGTTAATTAACAGCTTGGGATTATTGAAAACACTGAATGATTTCTAACATGTAATCAATCCAGTTCGCTCTTTTATTCCTATTTAATATGGCTTTAGTTCATTGTCTATTTGCAGTGCCTAAGATGCAGGATAACTAATTAAATGGATTGCCCACCCAGCTGCACGTCATGCTTTCTTTTTTCATGGGCATTCTTCATCAATGTTTTATATTGTTGTACTGAATGAATGAATGAGTAAAAGAAAAAGCACTTGGTATGTGGTGCATATATTTTGCTAAGCACTAGTATACAAATACAAACACTCAAAGGCAATCCTTGTCCTACAGGAGCTTATATCCAAAGAAGAAAACAGATAAAGAGGTATGGTAGCAGAGAGAAGTGTTTTGGAGAGGAATGGTCATTGGAGTAATAGGGCAATTGATTGGCTTGGCCTTACAGGGAATGGTGATGTTGGAGAGGGTTGGACTTAGGGGACTTAAGGTCTCCTTCAGCTCTAAAATGATGATCCTATGATCTCTAAAGCCCCTTCCAGGCCTAAAATTAGGATCCTGTGGTAGGTGTGTCTATTCCAAGTTGGATTTATACACACACACACACACACACACACGTGTATATATCTATTTATGTATATATGTGAATGTGATATGACACATATTATGGAATATACTGTATATACATGCATATATATAACACATGTGGATATTATATGTATACATACTACATATACATCTATAGATTACATATTAGCCCCCTTCATTCAAGCACAGATATAGTATGTGAAGCTTATATATATATATATACATATATATATATATATATACACGTGTGTGTGTGTATGTATATATATATATATACCTATATATATGTTATCTATCTCTGTGTGTGTATGTGTATGTATGTATCTATATGAGAGAGAGAATGACGATGACAGCATCTGTGTGGGGGAGATGGAGATTGACTAGAAATATAGATTACATGAAGGCAACCAATGTAATTTAAAGTTGGAAAGATAGCTTGGATCTAGATTGTAAAGGACCTAAAATTTCCTGAGAAGAGATATGTGTTTTGTCATGTAGTTAAATAGGGAGCCACTGAAGACTTTTGACCAGAGAATGACATAGGTCTGATGTGTGCCTTATTGGCAGTTGTGTGAAGATGAATTGGAGGCAGGGAGACCTGCTAGAATCTTAGAATGATAAGATTTAGAACTGGAAAGGACCTTAAGACCATATGTTCTGATCCCAGGCCCCTCATTTTTTGCAGTCAGTTAATCAACATGCATTTATTAAGTACCTATTATATGCAGGTCCCATGCTAGGTTCTGGGGATACCAAATCAAAAGTGAAACAGTTCCTTTCCTCAAGAAACTTAAGAGTCTGTTGTGGGTATGGAATCAAAA